GAACCCAGTTAATATGACCATAGCTAGATAAGTTCCAGCCCAGCAACAAACTCCAACAATTACCACGTTTGGCCCCCATTTTGTGGTAATAAAAATGGGTGGAATAGTATTTTTTTGAAAAAATGAGTGGTTGAAAAAGAAGGAAAGGTTTTCGATTTACGTGTAATATTATTTGATGGAGGATCGTGTGATTAAAAATAGGATAGAGAAAAATGAAATGGAATGGAATTGAAATTAATGGGGGCCAAAAGGGGCAATATCAGTTCATACACAGGTTGATGCAAAAAAGGCTAAAGATCAAAGCAAATATCAATTCTCAATATAGTAAAAATGGCCACTTTGGAAACAATGGATTGAAAATTAGCAACACATTTTTCGAAGTCGGCAGGTCACAAACAACTAAATCATTTACAAAACTATTGAGAACGTCCAACAACCTCAAAGACACGTAAACAACACTAGCATATGTATGCATACAAACTCGTTAAAATGTCGTGACAGATTATAAGCAATTCACATCAGTTCATTGAGTAATCTATACATTTGTTTCAAGTGGTGCTAAAACATATAATGCTGATAATATTCATTATAGTCAAACATCCAACTGAAAGTTGATCTGATAGAAAAAATGATCAGCAGATTAATATAAAAAAGGAATCTCTAAATGTCATTTATCCTTGGCCAAGCCAACTTCAATTCAGATACTTGGAATTGATAGATTGGATTGCCAGAAAAATCGTAATTTAAAATTTTTATTAATTCCAATTCTTTCATCAATTCCATGTTGCCAAGCTTTCATTGTGCTTCATCAAAATCTTCATTCACCACATTCAAAGAATATTAACACAAATTCTAAAGTTAAAGCACTGGAGTTAAGCCCAAAAACTATAATTACGACACGTAATCAACATAATCAATTCAAAGGATCTACACACAAAAAGCTCTAAAAGTGGGCAATCCAGAATCATTTCATAAGCTTGCTACTGACAGTACAAAATTTATTTACACTAAAAAGAGCATAAATTTTTTTATCAAGAAACTGCTTAGATTACAAGTACCACAGACAAAGCATATAAATGTGTAGAGAGGAGAACCTGAGGCAAGGACATCCTTCAAGTCATCGGCTGTGGGGGAGGGGTTGCCACCCAAACAGGCCAACAAGTAAGCCGCGATAATCTTCATTTCTGTTCAAGAAAAACAATAATAAAAACATTTCACAAATTCAAACGTATAATAAACTAAACCTTGTTCCCAATTAATCTGTGTACAGATATATGGGAAGTTCATATTCAGACACCTACCTGGTGATTAATGTGCAGAGATCAAGGATCCGACACTCGGCGGGCTCTGCTCCTCTTAGGGTTTTATGAGGTAAGAGATGATGAAAACTTGAGCTTCGGCTATATACTCCGATAGCAGAGGGCAATTTATACCTAGGGTTTTTTGGATTGATGGATTCTGAAATATTTTTATTTCCTGTATTACCCTTGGTCTTGTCGGGAATCGACTTAGATGGAAGAAATAACACTAGGCCCGAGTCACAATTTTTCAAATTTTATTTCCAACCATACATTATTCTATAAAATAATAGTATATGTGTTTCAAAATATTTTATTATTTTTTAACCATACATTCTCTAAAAAAAATCACTATTCCATAATATATTTTACCAAAAAACGGGGATCAAATTACTATGAATTTCGTAGCATTGTTTCATAAATTTTCACTTATAGCATCATCTTGTAAATTTTGAATACCAAACTGTAAATTTTCACTTCCCGCCCTTTGTTGAATATTCTGATATTAGTACTCAACTTTGAATCCCATTCTTTATGCGATTTGAATCAATAATTATATTCACACGAACGACAATTTTAGTTAACTACCTAACATTTCACGCGAACGACAGTTTTTATTAACTACATAAATATAATTAAGTCTTCAATTTTTATTTATATCCTCAACTTTTTCCATCGTATTTTTGCCTTCAATCTTCTATTCACAACTTGTTCTTGTTGATGGCCGAGAAATCCATTACGTGGTATAAAAAGACTTATTTGTCTCATTATTTTTAATTAAGTGAGATAAACAATAAATTAAAAGTTAACCGAATATTTGGACAGAAACTATCATTATAAACAAGATGGTCAAATTAATTGAGCACAAAAAATAAAAATGAGGTGAAAAGGTTGGGAATATAAGTGAAACAAGAAACTCCAAATCGAAAAAGAACAAGGAACGGAAGGTGCCACCACCAAACACTGAGTTATATTGCGCCACCAAAATGATCAATTCGACTATGGAAGATCTCAGCGTTTATGTTCTTAGGTTTAGTAGGACAGCAAAGTCAGGTTCCTACTAAATCAAAAACCCAATCTTACTCGAGCACCACCTTTAGATTGAATGAAATAAATACTTATGGACTTTGCTACATGTTATATAATGGGTTACATAATAACAACATATCTCTATTATTTATCAATTTAAAATACAATCAAATTTTTATCCAATCTTTTCCTTCCACTTCATTTTATGTCATCACTTATGTATCATTTTTATGTAGAACTAACATAATCCAATATTTATAAGGTTGAGAACCTTCCAAGTTATGCGTAAACCACATTCATGTATAGACTAGTGACTACTCAAATACACCAAATTCAATTCAGTTTTCAACACATCAATGAATGTGAAACTAGCAAAACAGAACCAAAAGGACACAACTTTTGTTGTAGAGATATGTCTCTTTAGATATGTCTCTTTTGATTCACAATTTTTGGACCACTATATATTGATTTCGTATGATTGAAATTAATTTACTCAATTCATAAATTGCATATCATGTTGATGCATATTCATTTGTTCATTCACTTTGAATAGAATTTCATAAAAGAGAGTTCAAAACATTAGTAAGGTTTGTTGATCTACGAAATTTGGAGTGTTCCTATTGCGGGACGTGATTCTTGCATTTTGGGAGACGAATGTCGAAAAATCGTTAACACCCTAGCCGGGGCATAATCGTTTTAAGGACAAAGAGTTTATTTCTTGTCTCGATTTGCATTTCTCATTTCTATTCTTTGTATTCAATTTTGGTTAGTCGAAATTCTGTTCAATTTCATGCACGTAAAAATTATGTCATTAGAATATAATTTATGCATGTTTATATTTTCCTAACAATCTTAAATGATTATTTATGTGCATATTATATTCTGTCATAAAAACGAACTCATTTCATGATTTGTGAATTCTGTTCTTGGAATGGGGATGCTTAATGCATGTAGTCTCATGATAAAATTAAGTTTCTGCTACTGCTTATGGATCCAATTGTTTGAACTTTAATATTATATACAACTGCTATCTATTTTGCATATATATGTGGAAAGTTGGATTCATTATGCAGCTTGGAATTAAACACGAGACAACAAATTTTCTTGACTTGCAATACGTATTCATTTAGTGGTGACTCGGTAACGCAATAATTGGAAGTGAAGCCACTATAATTTTATTTTGCAACGTTGTGTATGAAACAAAATAATGTGATAACCTAATTCTTGATTCCAGCATGCCAACAAGTCCTAAGACAATTCAAATCTGCTGATTTTAGAGACCAGATGGTCTTCTTGATTGCAGAATACACAACAATATATAAATACAATATTTCGTCTATTAATGACGCACAAGTTTATTTTTATTATAAAATGTACAAGATTGCCAAATAATATAGTAGAAAACGGCAGCATCTATTGATGATTTAAGAGAAAACATACACCCCTACATCTCCCCAGTCATCAGTTGTTCCGCAGCAGATGAACCTGATTTATTAATCACAAATAGATTCAAGATTTCTATGTAATATACAAAACTAGCCACCACATCTTGTGAAACACATGGATTAAACATGAAAAATAGTCACATACAGAAGGGCTTAAGCTACGTTTTTTAAAAGGTTGGCTTTTTAAGATCGACGTCGAAACTCAATGATAACATGGGTGACACAACATGACTAGAAAATATTCAATTTAACACTGAGATGGAACACTCAGACAAGGTAGACATGTTAGGATTCCGAACTGAATTCAGAGAGTCAAAATGGAGAAGCTTCCTACAGGAGATCAATTAAATGAATGGAAGCAAGTTTTTGAAGTAAATTTTGACTTACCGTTAATCGTGAAGTTTTCTTGTAAATCTTGTCACAGACACATATATCGAATTTCCAACAGTGTTGAAGAAGTTGAAATAGACATGTCTCTATGAGTACTTGAGAAATAGAGTAAAAATAACAGCCCAGAATCCAAAAATGAAACCAAATGCCATATAGAAGTAAAACTCTCGAGTTATGAACCCATTATCTTCTTCAACATTGTTTTCCTTTCCATAATCAGTTAGGGAAGGATCAGGAGCATCTTGAGGACACTCTGCTAGAGGACGCCCACATAGTTTGTTGTTTCCACCATAGGTAGAAGGGTTGAAGCTTTGTAGTTGAGTGCCTATTGGAATTTCCCTGTCAAATTATTGTATGATAAGTCCAGAATGCTGAGATAGTTTAGATTTGCAAGGCCAGTGGGAATCTCTCCAGAAAGCTGATTTTTAGACAAGTCGAGCCATTCCAACATCTCCATTTGACCAATGCTTGAAATAATATTTCTCGTCAAATGGTTTCTCGATAAGTTCAAGAAAATTAAACCCTTCATATCAGAAAGTTCTTGAGGAATAGTTCCAACTAACATATTGCTAGAAAAATCAATGCCTTTTAGAAGCCCAAGCTTTCTATATTCTATCGCTTTTCCTTTCCATTGAACTAAAACATTGTCGACGTATCTTTCAAAGAAAACCTCACCGATTCGTATTGTTTCAATTGAACTATTTTTCTCAACCAATGAAGTAAAATTGTTTAAACGTCACGGAATTTTCCCTAAGATATGGTTTATAGAAAGGTCCAAGATTTGAATATTGACAAGATGGCAAATTGTTGGAGATATCTTTCCATGAAATTGATTAGATCAAAGGCTAAGACCTGACAATCTTATTAGATGAGTCCCTATCCATGCTGGAATATCTCCTGTGAGCTTGTTTTCTCCCAAATCAATCATTCTCAAGGCTGTGCAATTTTTCAAAGAAGATGGCAACTTGCCCATGATATTATTGTTGCGTAAGTGCAACGTCTGAAGCTGATATAAGGCACCAATGGTGTTGGGAATTTTACCTCGAAAATGATTATTTGCTAAATTAAGAATGATTAAATTTGTTAAGCTCTTCCAGCAGTTGGGAAGCTTTCTGGATAACTGGTTATCTGAGAGATCAAGGATGGAGGCGAAGAAGTCATTGGGAATTTTGCATACATAAGAGATGGATCCAGAAAACATATTTTTGGAGATGCTTAAAATTTCTGATTGAAAAACAAATAGCGGTATTGGACTCGAAAAATTATTATGACTCAAATCCACAATCTTAGGAAATAAGTCTTTGGAGACTTCAGGAATTTCGCCTCTCATTTGGTTATGAGAGAAATTTAAATATCTTCCGAAAGACATATTCCAAAACCAATCAGGTACTACATTTGATATGCCAGCAACAGATATATCAAGATTTACATAGCTATTCTGAGTTTGAAGCCATTTTGGAAAATGAGGACCCATATTGCAATGGCTAAGGAATATATCATTCAATTGAAAAGGAGGATCCCAGTCAGAGCTCAAGTTCAAAGTCAGATAATTGAAGGATAAATCCAGGCATTTTAAGTTGGCAAGATTTGACAGTTGGGCTTCAGTGATTGTACCTTCCAACAAATTTGAAGCGGCAAGGAAAATTTCAAGCTTGGAATGTTGCCAAATGCCTTCAGGTAGCCTTTTCAATTGATTTCTGGTGAGATACAGTTCTATCAATGACGAATGTACTTTCAAGCCTGGCAATGATCCTGAAATATGATTGTAACCCAAGTCTAAAACTTCAAGACTCGAAGGTTGCCCAAGACTTTGTGGGAGAAATCCATTCAATTGATTCCAGCAGAGTATCACTTTCCTTAAGCACGAAAATTTGGTGAGATCTGGCAAGGCACCAAAAAATTGAATCCCACAGAGATCCAGGCTCTCAAGTGACATCTCTACTTTTCCGGATAAATTGCAAAATAACTCGGTAATAGACTCATTTAAATTATTTTTATGTAAATCTAGCAAGATCAAATGACTTACATTCCCCAAAGATTTGGGAATTCCACCATGTAGCTTATTGCTACACAAATTAAGCTTTTCAAGAAAAATCAGTTCCCCGAAGGCATCAGGAATAGGACACTCTAATTGATTATACGAGAGGTCTATGCTTATAGCACTTTTGGTAAAGTTAAACAGCCAGGGAAAAATGCAATTCGAAGTTAGATCGTTTATGGATAGATCGAGGAAATCAAGAGAGGGCAAGGAAGAATTAGCGAAGATATCTTTGGCCGGCAAAGTATTGGAAAGTTGACAGCTCGACAAATGCAATTCTTTGAGGAAAGGGAGCTTTGTCATTTGCAGTTGCCAGTTGGTTTCAAAAAGGTCAACATAAGTCAAGTCAAGATACGATAACAAAGAAAGATGAGAAAGCCATTCAAGGTTCTTTATACTCAGTCGCCAGTTAGCAAGTTCAAGAGTCTGCAGGTTGGTAAGGTTACCAAGTTCGTAAGGAAAGTCTCCAGAAAAGCCTGAAAACTGAAGTTTCAAGTGTCTTAATTTCTTGAAGGAACCAAAGAATTTTGGTATTTGACTCAATCCGAAATAATTGTAACTTAGGTCCAGGTAATTCAATTGCTGCAACTCAAGCAATGCAGGGTTGATCTTACCTCTCAAGGGAATACAAAAAGGTGAATTCCCCAATTTCAAGGAGTTGAGATCAAGGTGGATAATGTGACCAGTAACGTTGCTACATGCCACACCACTCTATTTGCAGCATTCACTCTTATCCCCTTCACTTCCCCAGGACGAGAGAAGGCCACCGTCGTCTATAAGGCTTTGCTTAAACTCGAGAAGAGCTTATCTCTCCCTCTCTAAGCATAAAACTTCTCCAGAATTAGACAGTGAAGTCGATTTCATGCACACAGAAAATACAAATAACAGTAAATACAGTACTTTGATAATTCCAATATGCTCCATCATTTTTTAGTGATTTCGAATTTATAGTGATATAGGAAGATTTAAATCTCCGAGTTATATGTCCTCTGCAGATTGCAAAAATCATTTTTACAAGTCCACTCGAAGAAAGGTTGGCCCATAATCTTCAATATTTCCACAATATTTTCCAAAAGTTTTAATAATGACGAGAGGATTCATTGAATTACAGGCTGTTTAGTTGACTCAATAGTCAAGGTCTTTTTGGCAGTTACAAACATATTTCAGACATTTATGGTTTTAATTAGTTGACTCTATAGGCAAGGTCTTTCCTTTGACAGGTGGTGAAAAATTATAGCTTGTATTATGAGGTTAAATAATTTCAAAAGGAGGAATGTTATTCATAGTGAAGATCATCAAGAATCTTTCTATGTCACATAGGACAACTACCGATAGTACATACTATATATAGATTGTTATTTCAAAGTCACTATGCTTGAATACCCTGTTGTAACATCTTATTTTAAAGGTTATTATTTTTAAAAGGCATGATTTAACACACCCGACAAACCTTAACACATGGATTTACCCAAAGAAGAATTGGCCACATATTTTCATTATGTATAATCCGCTTATGATTCCTCTCTAAAGAGTGTGTTTGGGAGATTTTTTTCAAAGTCTAAAAGCCCCGCACTTTATGAAGGTCAAAAGAGCTTAAAAAGTTGTTTTACAGAAGCCCAAATTTCGAGCATCTCTAAAATATCTCTAGTACAACGTTTATAGGAACCTATAATTTTCATTTAACGAAGGTCTAAAATTAACAAAATGCTTATTAATATATCTAAAAGAATGTTGTTATCTGTCGTCGTCCTACGTGATACACATATGACAATTTATGATTTGATGCGTAAGGTAATACCAAGTTAATGAATTAGATTGCATTACTCCATCAAAAAAGACTTCTAACTCCTAACACAACCAATCAATTTAATATTCAAGACACATTTTAAATTCATGATCAAATAGTCAAAAATTTCATTAAATTCTCTACTCATCATAGTTGTGCCAAATGAACCTTAAAATTAGTGAAAGAATGTTCATATTGACCCAAAACAAATGCCAGAAAACAATACTCGTGAACAACAACAGCAATTGAAGTGCACAATATGCAAAAACTAAATTATGGACGTAAAAGAAGGTCTAAAAGTCCAGCTGAATTTGGCAATGAGTGCGACATGTATGACACAGAAACGAAGAGGCGGCTCTGAACCATGGACGTAAAAGTCGGCCAAAGTCCAGAGGAGAGGTAATTCCCTTCTTAATTCTAAAAATTAATTTACACCTAACAATAGACTTGTCTTTAGGTTTTGGGACTTATTCCCATGTTTAATTCTTATGGAAGGAATTTATCTCTTCTTTCATTGCTTTCACCCAATCCTCAGATTGTTTGCTCCTCAAGGCTTCTTCATAAGTGTTGGTTCCATATCAACTAGTTTTTCATAACTAGCATAAGCAAGTTTAAAATCAGACTCTCTTTGAGCCATCCTATATGTTCTTCTAACTTTGTCTCTAACTAACTGGTAATCAGACAAAAGATTTTGCTCTCTTTGATATTCCTTTATAACCTCATCTCTCTCAATATTTTCACTCTGATTATCTTCTAATTCAGGATTTTGATGCTCCACCTCAATTGAGGTGGTGGGGGGTTTGACCACTTAAAGGCCTTAAATCCACTTGAGATTTATCACTAGTGTTTTCTTGCTGTTTTTCTCTCAAGGTGCCACTTTCTGATTTTAGACACATTTCAGACTCATTAAATGTAACATCACAACTTATGATGATCTTTAACTCCAGTTTGACTTCTATCCCAAAGCATATACCCTTTAACTCCTTTAGGGTATTATAAGAAAACACATTTCCTAACTCTAGTTTCTAGTTTTCCCTCATTTTGATGAGAGAAAGTACAGCTAGAAATTTTTAACACAGTATAGTCAGCACATTTACCATACCATTTTTCATGTGGAGTATCACCATTTAATGCAGTAGAAGGTGTAAAATTAATCAGATAACATGCAGTCATAACAACTTCACCCCAAAAAGATTTAGGAACATCAGAATTCAACATCATACATCTAACTTTTCAAATAAAGTATGATTCATACGTTCAGCCACCCCGTTCTGTTGAGGTGTATAAGGAACAATTTTATGTCTAGTAACTCCACATTTTTCACACATATCATCAAATCTTTATTATAAAATTCTAGGTCATTATCAGTTTTTAGATATTTTATCTTTTTGCCAATTTGAGTTTTAACTTGCAATTTCCATATTTTGAAATTTTTAAATATTTCAGTTTTATCCTTTAACAGATAAATCTACACTCTACGAGAATAATAATCAATTATGGACAAAAAATATCTATTACTACTCATTGTAGGATTAGTAGCAGGCCCCCATAAATAAGTATGAATATATTACAAAACTTTAGTACTTTTGTACATACCAGATTAAAAAGATGACTTATGATCTTTACCAAGGATACAGTGAACACAAAAAGGCACATTAGACACACAGTCTTTTCCAAATACACCTTTATCATTTAGTAGTTTAAGTCATTTAATACTTATGTGAGCTAACCTATTATGCCACTTGTGTATGTCGTCTGTGTTGGTCAAATTTATAGAGGAAGATGAATTTTTAATAATTTCAGCAGTAGTCACATAAATACCGTTTCTTATAATACCTTTACATGTGATAAAAACTCCCTTAATCATTTTTAGCATGTTGTTTCCAATTTCACGAGAAAAACCACCAGTTTCTACTGCTCCTATAGAAATAAGATTCCTTGCCATTTTAGGAATATATCTGACTTCATGTAATTTTAAGCACATAACCAGTGTCAAATTTTAACGTGATATCACCAATTCCAACAATTTTATATGCATGATTATTGCACAAAATAGCATGTCCACTTTCAGATTCTTGCAAATTTTCAAACAAGGCTTTATATGATGAAACATGAAATGATGCATCAAAATCAAATATCCATTCATGTAAATGTGATTTCACAGTTAGATTTATTTCAGTAGGTTCAGAATTAATAACACATAGACTTTACAGCATTCATCATAAGACATAATAACATTTCATTTGTCTCGTCGTGAATCTTTTCTTTTTGTTTGTTTTTCTCAACATAACAATCTTTAATAAAATGTCCAGTTTTACCGCACCAATAACATTTTCTACCTTTAGTTTACTTTTTGACCTAGATAGACTTCTACTTTTCTTTTTACTACCAGATGCGTATCCACTTTGGTTAGCATGAGTCCTAGATTGAGACCTACCTCTCTTATATGAATCTCACCACTTTTTCTCTTGACTCTCTTGGCTTGCATTTCCATATCTTTACTTCTTAACGAGTCCATGACAATTTCAGGTATTAAAGTATCTCTTTTGTATTTAATAGTATTTTTAACTTCTCTATAAGTGTCATGGATAGCATTTAACAAAATAATTACCTTATATTCTTCAGATACTTTCTCATCACAGTTAGTGATATCGTGCACAAGTTTATTGAAAACATTCAAATTGTGATCCAAATCTTTTGAAGAATCGATTTTAAAGCTAAAAAAGCTTTCAAGTAGAAAAAGTTTGTTTGGAGAGGATTTAGACACATAATGCTCCTCCAGTTTTTCCCAAAGTTCTTGAGATGATTTTAATCTACCAACCTTTCTTAATACCGCATCAGACAAATGTAAAATGATAGAAGTATATGCCAATTCATCCAAATTCTTTTTTTTTTCAGTAGTCAAGTTTGCAGGAAAAGAGTCATAAATAGCTTTAAAAAATTTTTGTTGAACAAGAATACCTTTCATTTTTTGTTACCAAATTAAAAAATCTATGATAAGTGTGTTTTTATACACTTATTTAGCTTACAAACATGACTTAAACATGGACAAAGTAGTTGAATTGTGACTTAATCTTGTTAAATTCTTGCAATGTAGGTGTTCCCATGGAAAAGATGGAATTCAGAAGAAAAGAGCCGAAAAGGACCAAAACGGAACAAAGCGATAGTTCGGGGACCAAAGGTGCAAATATTGAAAAATTGAGCTAAAGTGCAGAATTAGAATGAAAATATACCAAGTATGAGATTGAGGATGATACAAGACGATTAGAGGAAGAAAGAAGTAACATTGGACTGAATTGAAGAAAGTGAAAGATGAAGGACTAAATTGCAATTAATCAAAAGATGAGCCGAGCAAATGATCAAGGAATTGATTGACCCAAACATCAATTAGGAGTCAATATGTGATAATGGAACAAAGGAAAGAAAGAAAAGAGATCAAGAAAAGAGAAAACGGAGTTTAGGGACCAAAATGACAAGGTTGTAACTTTACAACCTTGCGGCCGCATGTAACTATACCATGCGGCCGCACATGGTGATGCAGGGTTTTAATTGAGCAAAAAAATTGAACCATGCGGCTGCATGGCCTTAATTTAAAAAAAAACAAAATCTGAACTTCCGTTTTTAATTGAAACTCTTTTGGGGCTCCGTGAGGACATAATATAAAAGCCAAAATTCATCAGAAATAGGGTAGAACGTCCAGGGAGAAGAAGAATACAATTTTTAGAGGCAAGGAACACGAACTTGAAGTCGATTTCACAAGGATTCAAGTGGGTTTTCAAGGTTTTGTTCAAGATTTCAGATTTCAAGAATTTTCATACGGGTGTTATTCTTTCTATTTATTAATTTCATTTTTTTCTGTAATTATGAATCTTCTAGGCTAGGTTTTCAATTACTAGGTGATCGATGAACCGTTGTTTGTTATTTTAATTCTATATTTCATGAATTTAATATAAAGACTCGTTTGGATAATTTGATTGATTTACATGCATTAATTTTCTTCCGCAATTAGTGGCCAATGATTGTGTGAGTGTTGATGACTTATTTCTTACATTTAAGAGAAGTGGAATAGGTTCGATAAGGTGTAAATTAACATAGGGTCCGATAGGGGATAGAGATATACCCCTATGCTTTATACAATTCTTAAATTGTTCACAAAACTACATGCATTCTTGTATGTTTGCATCATCCATAGAGATATAGGCTGGTGGTGTGCAAGAATAGGTCTAATATATATCGAAAGAATATATTGGATAGATTTAGAAACATTGAATTGGCAAATTTTCATCGAATCATTAATTTTATGAAATTAGGGTTTTTATAACTTCAATTGGGGATTCGTGATCCTAGTGACTTTAGTTTGATTCATTTTAATAA